AATTGAAGCTTATAATCACTTAGGGCTAATCTCACAACTGAGTGCCTGATTCTAGGAAAATGGTGTGGTGTAACAGCAATAAAGCTGATCTGTAAGGGGGGGGGGGGTTGGGGTTTTTTTCCGGCTTGTTTGGTTTTTTTTTTTTGGTTTGTTTTAAATTTTTTTGTTGACAACTTTTTGTTCCTGTTCCTAACAGGAAGAGAATTTAATAACTGGGGAGACAGTAGCAGAGTCTGAAGAAAGCCTAGAAGAACTAATGGCCAAAATGAGAAACATGTAGAAAAACAAATATTAAGTGCAACTTTTATGAGTTTGGATGGACATTGGATTTTGAGAAGACCAGACTTCTTACTTCTTTTTTTTACCTCCACTGAAGCTTACCTTTACTTTTCTGATGAAACAGAACTGTTACAGGGGCAGGAAGGATGCAGACTTACATTGTTTATATTCTGTTTTCTCATCATGTTGTTATTAACAGATAGAGCTGTGCTACTGTAAATTTTAGTTTCTCAGCATTGCTAGTGTCCAGATATTCAGTGGCAAATAAAAGGACCTGGATAACCTAAAAAAGCAGGCACAGCACATTATACACCCTGCCATGTGATGAGAACAGCACATAGAACAGGCCAAGGAGAAGATGAAATCTGCTGGAGTGGGCTGAGTGGGTGAAGGACAGATGATAATGCCTCTCTCATGGTGCTGCTCCTGAGTTTCCAGGCACTTTTAACTGGTTGTCATTCACTGGTCTAAAGTCTTGGCATGGATCATGCTGTGGCTACTTCTTCTGAGTAATGAGAACACATAAGCCTGTTCAGCTGCCTTAAATATCCCTGGGATGGAATTTTCTTTATCCATATCTTACTGCTGCTTGTTAAACAGCTGCCTGTGTTTTGTATGTGATGTTTTCAGTATACTGTAAGAAGGTGAAGTCTTTTGTTATGATTAATTAGCAGCATGCCACTGTTTTGTCTGGCAGATGCTTTTCATGACAAAATTATGAGCAGCATTGGAAAGAACTGGAGATTCTGTCTACCTTTTCAGAAGTCTAAATATTATACTTTTGTTGGATACTGAAAGTTTAGCTATAATTCTGATCACTCCCCATCACGTGGCCTATATTAAGAAATATAAGTCTGAGTTTGCATAGAAAGTCTTTTAAAATTAGATGCTATAAATTTTTAGTTTTGCAAATATCTTCATTGGAGTAGCTCAGCTGTTGTATTTGTCTTGTAAATGACATAAGTACAGTCATGCAGCCTTTTAAATGGCCATGTGTTAAACTGACCTGTAAATATTTGCATCCTGGGGCACCAGTACCCTGTAGAACTGGAAGGATCAGTTTCAAATACTTTAACTACTGTGGGCATCTGATCCAGAACTTGGTAATTATTTCAGCCTCAGCAGTATAATACAAGTATTTCCAAATTGGGCTCTTCAAAAAACTTTTCCACAATGTGATGCAGCCAACACAGAGCCAGCTAGTATTGGCAGTAGTAGTATCCCACTAATATGAAAAGAGACAGCAATACTATGGTGGTGCTTCTGTTTCTTGGGGCAGCTGAATACCTGTTAGTTATACTAATAATTAGTTTAGAAAATGTTTCATTTCTACTTAATGGTTACAAAATTCAAAATCAGTTTCCTCCACAGCTGACATCAAATTATATTTTATACAGAAAAATAATTTCTGAAACCAGTGAGGGAGATTTTGGGTGGGTTTTGAGTGTGTGGCATTATACTGTAAAATTGAAGTGGCTTTTTTGGATTGAATTCTGTTTTGGAGAAACCAGGTTTTAGAAATGAACTGCAAAGAAAGACAGGAAATAGAATAATGAGACCATTAAAAAGGTAGATACTTGAATCTGTGTCGATAAGTCTATGTTAGCTTGATCCAGTGTCAATTTATGTGTTACATTTCTGCGTGACTTTCACCTTTCTGTTGGGAACAATAGAAGTCAGGCACACAGCTGTGTGGATCTGGAGATCCTGAGGCAAATGGCTGATTCATTTCTACAACAGCTCAGTTCCTCCTGACTTAACTATTTGGCTGACATGGCTGCTATGACAGGATTGACAGCTTTATGAGAGGCAACTTCAAGTACACTTTTGAGGGAATTAATACATTTTTGTATGCCCTGTTAGAGAGTACACAAAACGGTTCCTGTGTTACTTTTAGACTTTCAACTTGTATATACAAGAAAAATTTGAAATAATCAGAAAATGAATAATTGTATGAAGATAATTGTATGTATCAATGGTTAAAATTATTTAAAAATAAACAGCATCCAAAAAAAGCAGCACTAAGGATTTTTCTCATTAAAAAGATATTTACAAGTATAATGTACTTTAACTGTAAAACACAGTAGAACATTTATTGCTTCCTTGGTTATGAACTAACAAATCAAAGTACATTGCCATGATGAAGTCGGATTAAGTCCAGGTTTGTTTATTTGGAAATCTTATAAAAGTTTATTTGGCAAAAAAATAAAAGTATAAAAGTGTGTTACATTTCTGCGTGACTTTCACCTTTCTGTTGGGAACAATAGAAGTCAGGCACACAGCTGTGTGGATCTGGAGATCCTGAGGCAAATGGCTGATTCATTTCTACAACAGCTCAGTTCCTCCTGACTTAACTATTTGGCTGACATGGCTGCTATGACAGGATTGACAGCTTTATGAGAGGCAACTTCAAGTACACTTTTGAGGGAATTAATACATTTTTGTATGTCTAGAGAGTACACAAAACGGTTCCTGTGTTACTTTTAGACTTTCAACTTGTATATACAAGAAAAATTTGAAATAATCAGAAAATGAATAATTGTATGAAGATAATTGTATGTATCAATGGTTAAAATTATTTAAAAATAAACAGCATCCAAAAAAAGCAGCACTAAGGATTTTTCTCATTAAAAAGATATTTACAAGTATAATGTACTTTAACTGTAAAACACAGTAGAATATTTATTGCTTCCTTGGTTATGAACTAACAAATCAAAGTACATTGCCATAATTAAGTCCAGGCTTGTTTATTTGGAAATCTTATAAAAGTTTATTTGGCAAAAAAATAAAAGTATAAAAGTTTATTTGGCAATCTTATAAAAATGTTCAGTTTTTACAGTGTCTCATGAACATTATTAAGATGTTGATATTCTGACAGTACAATTAAATCTCCATTGAAACTGATGACCCTCTGCTTTCAGGTGGACTTATACACAAAAGTATTATCTGGCATATCCCATATGTAGCAATGACTTTTCCTTGCTGTCCATGAGGTACAGCGCCATGGAAGCTGTCTCGTAAGCTTTCTTTGGGTTCAAAGGGTAGGCACATGGATTCCTCACCCTCTTTGAAGGACAATGGATGGTTGAGATCTGCTGCTTTTGAGGGACTAAGTGTTAAGTATAAAAGTTTATTTGGCAATCTTATAAAAATGTTCAGTTTTTACAGTGTCTCATGAACGTTATTAAGATGTTGATATTCTGACAGTACAATTAAATCTCCATTGAAACTGATGACCCTCTGCTTTCAGGTGGACTTATACACAAAAGTATTATCTGGCATATCCCATATGTAGCAATGACTTTTCCTTGCTGTCCATGAGGTACAGCGCCATGGAAGCTGTCTCGTAAGCTTTCTTTGGGTTCACAGGGTAGGCACATGGATTCCTCACCCTCTTTGCTAAAGGACAACGGATGGCTGAGATCTGCTGCTTTTGAGGGACTATTTTTTTATTTTAATTCTTTTTCTTATTCCAAAACCAACTCTGCAACCTATGAGGAAGTTGGAGAGAACTTGCTCAATGGAAGAATAGTAACAGCTCAGCAAATGTAGCAATGACTTTTCCTTGCTGTCCATGAGGTACAGCGCCATGGAAGCTGTCTCGTAAGCTTTCTTTGGGTTCACAGGGTAGGCACATGGATTCCTCACCCTCTTTGCTAAAGGACAACGGATGGCTGAGATCTGCTGCTTTTGAGGGACTATTTTTTTATTTTAATTCTTTTTCTTATTCCAAAACCAATCCTGCAACCTATGAGGAAGTTGCAGAGAGAACTTGCTCAGTGGAAGAATAGTAACAGCTCAGCAGCAGCAGCACTGAGGATCTAGAAAGTAACTTCTTATTTAAACTAGCTACAATAAGGATGATGTTTAGGAGAGAAAGATGTACCACTGAATGTGTTAGAATAGACAGGACAAGCTAGACCAAACATCTGATAATTCTTTCAAGGAGAGAATTACCAGGTCTAAAAACGTCGTCTAAAAACATCAGGCAACATAAATACACACAAGCTGAGTAGACTGAGGTTTTGGAGGGGAGGGGGATTGGGTATTTTTGTTTGGGATTTTTTGCATGTGTATTTGTCTGTCTTTCCTTTTGCCCCTCTTCTCAGTTGATGACAATCTTGCAAAGAACTTCCTAGTTTTCAAAACTTTGTAACGTGGCTGAAATAGAGTGGTAAACCCTTACTTTGTTTACAAACCCATTTTCTGAATAAGAGGAAAATATCCAGAGAGCTGTTCCCAAGTGTCAACTCTTAGTGCTCTATCATAACGTCTTCAATAACTATTTTTGATTTTTGTTTTCAACTAAGCCTTAATCTTAAAAATCAAATTTGGGTTTTATATTTGTGCTGTCAGTTTTATATACCTTTACTTTTGCCAAGTTACTGCATTACCAAAATACTACATTCCTCCTAATCAGAACAAGGGCTGAAAATAGTAATATTTAATTGTACTGTAAAAGAGAAAAAACACTTGGAAGGCAAGTACTCCTTGGAAGTGAAGGCCATTTGCATTTTTGAAACTGGATCAAATTAACATTAGTTGCCTCTGAAATATTATAGTAGGGTTTCAAATAATTTTCCACTTACATTTCTTATTTTATAAAAAAGTATTTTTTTAGTATGTATTTAAATTGATGCATACGTTTATGGACTGAATGAGAATAGAACTCAGACTGATTCTTCCAGTGATGCAGGTATTAAGTACAACAGGCAGGTAGATTTGATTAATATTTCTTTATCTGATGGCAGTCTACTTTGCATCACTAGGTTTTCCCAGCTAATACAAACATTCTTGTATTTTAAGGGATTCAGTAAGACTAAACAGTGGGTGTGTTGCTAAAGGTTTAAGAACAGGAAATCTGGCCATAATCATCTTCATTTTGATTCCTCACTGGAAGTATTTTTATTGAACAGAGCGGAATCCTTCAGCAGCTTTAATTGTAGATGACCATGAGATATTTAGATACCCTAGTTTCCCAAAGAAACCACTTAATTTTGCACAACTCCCTTGAATGAAAGTTTGCTTAAGCTGAAATAACATTGCAGGTAAAACTTGAGGTTAAACAGTATTTTCAAAGTTTTTTCAAAATTACTATTTATTCAGAAACAACTTTAAAGGCTTGTAAAAAGGCAGGAAGGATTGATGATACAAAAATACACAAATTCTCTAAGCCATGCTGTTACAACACAGAGGTAAGAAATGCCTCTTAGAGTTTATACAAGTGGTTCAGCTTAATTTGTTATAGTCCTGGCACTTAGGCTAGGAGGCATCAAGTCCATGGTTTTGGTATTAGCTACAACTTGAGCTAGTAACTAATGTGTGTACCTATGAACAATGAAAGAAGCTCACTTTGTACCATACAGTCTGCAAAGTTAAGGCAGAATTTATGAAGACAGGTGTCATTCCCAAAGCAGTACATAATCCTTGGAAAAATGGATTTGTCTTAGTAATTTTCTGTCTACTTGAAAATATCAATAGAGACTGCCTTTTCTTGGAGCAGGTTTGTATCACCTTTGTCCATGTTCCAGCAAAGCATTTGGTGATAATGCACTTTTTAAGCTGAATGTGTCTCCACTTGACGAGTGTCGAGAAGTTGCTTTTCCACCTATCAACAAAGTCTCTGCTTCTTTTATTTCCATAGCTCTCTTGTAAAGTTCAGCTGCCTTCTCAAAGTCTCCCCTTTCATAGCTTTGGGAAAGAGCAAAACAAACTTGAAACAAGCAAATAAAACAAGTCTCTCAATTAATTTAAATAGAAATATACACCATATTATCAACATAATGTACTTTAAACTCTACTTTACTGGACAGTACACAAGCCCAGATGTTTTTTTTTTCATGCAGTAGTTAGCATTTATAGGGTTGAAGCATATAGAGCTTTGGGAAAGAGCAAAACAAACTTGAAACAAGCAAATAAAACAAGTCTCTCAATTAATTTAAATAGAAATATACACCATATTATCAACATAATGTACTTTAAACTCTACTTTACTGGACAGTACACAAGCCCAGATGTTGGTTTTTTTTTCATGCAGTAGTTAGCGTTTATAGGGTTGAAGCATATAATCTTACCTTAGCACAGCCAAGTTTTTCAGTGTTTCCCCCACACGAGGATGCATTTGGCCAAAGCTGTCTTCATAAATCTTTAGTGCGCGTTCATAGAGAGGCAAAGCTTCAATCTGTTTTTTCTTTGGGTAGCAGAAAGTTTCTTTGTTACAGATTTGTATTTCTTTGATACAGCTGTGTAATACATAGGCTTTTTCTTGCCAACATAAGTATCAGTGCATCCTGCATGCAGTATCATGCCTACCATTCACAATTATCTTTTCCCTGCATGCATTTTTCTCACCAAATATGCTTTCAGTGTTTAAAATGCCCAAGAATTTGCCAATACTATAAGGAATTTCCCTTTTCAATACAATTAAGTTTATTTTGTTTAATTTAGGTACAAGTCATAAAAAAGCCTAAGACAGGAAAAATAAGTTAGGCATGAAAAACTCACCATCTGACAGTAAAGGACTGCCAGGTTTACCAGAGCAGTTGCTACACTTGGGTGTTTTGGGCCAAATGACTTCTGTCGAATTTCAACTGCTAGCTCATACAGAGGAACAGCCTTGTCAAGCTTTCCCTAGAAATAACATGGAAAAAAATGATTCATTTCTCTGGTATCAAGATAGTAACAGCAAAACCTATTTTAAACAAGAGCCTTGGGAAGACCTAATTGTTTCTAGAATAAGGGGATAACTTTGCTAAATGATATGTATATTCTGCATAGATTATTTATCATGAGTACTTTTATTAGAACCTAATTTTCCAAAATACTGGGCATATTCAACTCCCAGTTACTGTTTCTCAGCTAGGTCTATTTCTTCCTTTCTTAATTTGTTTTTGCCTGCAAGTGTATCATTCAGAAGGCTGAAAAATCTTTTTACAGCTGTACTTTTATCAAAATAATTGTCTCCACTGACTTTTAATTTGTGCTCCTTCATACTAGCAAAGAGGTTTTTGATGCAAATATTGAGTGGTTTTGCAGCTTCCAGCAGCATGAAAATTAGAAGCTGAAGTGAGCAGAAAATAATGTGACCCAAAACCATTTAAAGCAGACAATAGCAGGTAAGAATTATTTAGCAAAAACATGAGCAAATTTGTTTAAGAGATTATCAAGGTTTTTTTTCTCTTTGAAGAACAGTAAAATAAGAAAATATAAAATAAATAAAATTCTTTTAACCCACAGAATTTGATCTTGGTTCAACTGTTGGAAACAATATATCTCTATTAAACTAATAATACCTAATGGTTACAACAACCATACACAAACACAAATATTCATAAGACATTTTGAAATTAGGAAATGCAGAAGTTTATACTCCTGTTAATTTTACTCTACAGAGTGCTTTTTTCACAGGAGTAATGCTCATCTTTCACTGAGTCAACAGAAGCTGAAGGTGCCTCAGCCAGACAGATTATTTGTGAACTGCTATCTCCCTCATAATTCTAAAAGTTGCCCTTAAACTGACTATGAAGTTCAAGGTCATTGTGTAAGAGGAACTATTTCTACCCAATAAAACATGATTTTTTTCCATTAAGACATAGACATTACAGTTTGTTACTGTAATATTTTCTAGAAAAATCCAGAAAAAAATTTGCCAGGATTTCATTTGTGAACTGCTATCTCCCTCATAATTCTAAAAGTTGCCCTTAAACTGACTTTAAAGTTCAAGGTCATTGTGTAAGAAGAACTATTTCTACCCACTAAAACATGATTTTTTTTCCATTAAGACAAAGACATTGCAGTTTGTTAGTGTTATATTTTCTAGAAAAATTCCTTCACCAGGATTTCTCTCCTGGGAAGCTGAGAAGCTTCAGAGAAAAAGGAAAACAATATTATCTCATTTGCTTCTTCTGTGTTTTGCTCCTTTGGAATGTAGTTTAGAGATTGTTTATCCAACAGGTGATTGTTTCATTGGTTACATGTGAATTGTTTTTACTTATTAGCCAATTATGGGTCAGCTGTGTTGGACTCTGAGAAGAGAGTCAAGAGTTTTTCATTATTATCTTTAGCCTTCTGACAGTATCCTTTCTCTATTCTTTAGTAAAGTTTAGTATAGTTTAATTATAATATAATTATAATTATAATATAACATAATATAACATAATATAATATAATATAACATAACATAATATAATATTTGATATCATATTATATGATATCATATATCATATAAGATAAATCATACCATATCAGACCATATAATGTAATTAATATAATAATGTATCATATAATGTAATATCATATCACATCACATCACAATAAATTAGCCTTCTAAGAACAGAGAGTCACATTTCCTTCCTTTGACAGAGACCCCAGAAACTACCACAACAGTTAATTCAGATGATCAGAAGAGATAACAGATGTGTGCTCACCATCTTTTTGTACAGCACTGCCAGGTGTTTCACAGTGTAAGCCAAGGAGGGATGATCTGGAGCTAAGGCTCTCCTCCTGATGTCCAAAGCTTTCTCATAGAGCTCCTCAGCCTTGTCATAGTGCTTCTTCTCATTGTACAGGGCTGCCAGGTTGTTCAGAGACTGTGCGCAGTCTGGGTGGTCAGATCCCAGGACTCGCTCCCGCATTTCCAAGGAGCGCTTCAGGAAAAGCTCTGCTGTCCTACACAACATATTTGCTCATCAATATTTTAAAGCTGGTAACATCTGTACAGGCTGAAATGCCTGTTTGAAACAACAAACTCAACCTTGGAAACTTATAGTAGAATCTGTTCGGAACTGACAAAGTATTTTCTAAAACACTCTGTAATGAGACCACTGAAGCAAAGAGTACATTTTTTCTCACGACAGTAGGGTGCTACTATTTCATTTCAGCTTTACAGCAGCTCCTCTATCAAAACTGGAGATGATCCCGCCATAAGACTGATAGCATCCATTATTACTAGGCAGCTCCTCATCATGACATCCACACAAACCCTGTCATGCTATTCTCAAGAGGTCAGCTAAGTAAATCAGAAAAATCTATTTCATGTTAGAGAAAAAAAAAGACCATTTATACACAGAACTGTAGGTTCAATTCTGGAGTTCTTAGAGAAGTGTCAAAAGGTGTTCAGTCTATGCAAGGGCTGGAGGATCATGTGTGACAAATAATTATTCATTAAGTGCATACCCTTCTGCCAGTGATTTCATTTTAACTACATGAAGTCTTGGACTTGCTGGTTCAGAGCAGGGATATCCATTTTAAAAAGTTCCTTAAGCTTCCACTAGAACAAAGTTTATACCTTTTCTCACCTATGAAATAGCACAGATACAGCTACTCTTGAAGTAGGTGGCATTTAACAGGAACTACATATGAATAACATGGAATATTAACCAATTTTGTATGAGATTACATAATATATTGCTCTTCTATAATCAGTCATTTCATGAGGGTAAAGTGATGAAAACCTCACATGTCCAACAACTGTTAAAAATCAATTCCTTCACTGTAGACATCATGATTCTGTATGCAGATCCTAAATAATTATGTACTTCTGTAATTATCCAAAAGCTACAGGTGCTTTAAACATCAGGTACAGGAAGAACTGGAAGTAAAAATGCTTCCAGAACTCACTCTGTGCTTTTTGGCTGGGCACTTTTGTTCCCTGAAAAGGCTCAGTTGAGTGGAATTTAGGTGACTTTACAATTCCCTCATAACACATAGCTTAAATTCCTCTGTCAGCTAAAGAAGTTGATGTGAAGAGTGGTTAAACATACAATCAGAACTATCTTGCACCTTTTATTCTCCTTCTTCAACACCCCTGTTTATCTCTGTCTGCTTTTAGAACACCTTTGTGCTGGTCTGGCCCTTTAGCAGGACATCAGGGTAAAAGCTGAAGGATTACAATATTTAGGTCATGACTTCTTGTAATACTGTCATAGAAAAACAACAATGCTGCTGTTCAAAGATGAACACTGCAAAGGGGAGTCACAACATAGTGAAGCTGAGCAGAGAAGGCAGAAGTTTGAGACAGAATTGGAATTTGCAACAAAGGCTAATTAACTGTGGAACATCAATTCTGAATGCAGGAAGTGCACTGACTTGTAAAATACCCACATGCCAACAGCACCAAATAGAAAATAGGAGTGAATTTCACAGTGAACAAAAACCAGCAGAATGAATAAGGGACAAGTATTTGATTATGTGTATGCATTTAGTGCTGGATCTCCCTGCTCTGCCTCCATTCAGACATCTGAGAACACTCGTGGATGTGTCACAATCAATACAACTCACTCAAGATTATTCTGCAGGTAGTAGAGGACTCCAAGCTCATTTAGGGTTCGAGCATTATCTGCTGTATCCTTGCCTAACGTGAGCTCTTCCAGTTGCAGGGCTCTTTGACGCAGGAGAGCAAAGCCACACTACAGCAAAAAGAAGGAAATGTAAGCCAGTCACCAGTACTTTTAAAGTTTAACACTAAAGACAGAAAACCAGAAGACTTACTTTGGTGCCAAAGTAGCACAATAGTCCTCCTTAAGTTCTACTTTTGAGCTACATGGCAAACACACGCTTACAATCTATCAGCAAAATGAACCAAAAAATGTGAAATTTTGGTGAACATTTCCAGGCAATACAAGTTACTGTGTGGTCACACCTCTCTCCCTGTATCAGACATGGTAATTTGCTTAAACTCCCCAGTTCAAATAACCAGTTCAGATCAAATTCTTAGGTTTAGAACCTCAAAACTTAAAATCAATTTAACCTCCAATCCTGAACACCACGTAGAAATGCATATAAAATATTACTCAAGGCTTCACATAAATCTGTTAAAAATAGACAAACAAGTTAAAGCTTACAAACAAAATAAATCAAAGTAAAAAGTGCAGCCATTTTTACACACTCTGCTTATTTTTGATCTTTGCAGTCTTGATAAAAATATTTTTACAGAACTCATTACAGAAATAGATCAAATCTTCATGAACCAAATCCATTCTTATTTAATCACTGTGGAAATAGCAACATGTTTATGGGTTTTTCCTGCTTTCATTAGAGCTACAGCTTGAGCTCTGGAGTTATTAGCTGGACTCTTACAGTACAGGCATTACATGATAAACTCTTAGCTCAAAAATGACAAGAGAAACCCTGTAGCTGAAAAACAACACAGGAGAAGAAAACAGGGAAAAAACTCTGGATGTCACCTAATACTTTTACTGGGATTTTCCATTGCAGTAAGCACTGCATTCACTAGTAGGATAAATGCCTCAACTATTCTGGAGATAATTTTCCATTGTGACTTTGACACACAATCGTATTGGCTGTAATTCTGCACCTCTGAAATGTATATATCCACTTCTTTCTTCTGCACTTTCAACTCCATTCCAGTTGTACTGATACATCTCCACTTCCAGCAGAATTGAAAGGACAGTTACCAAAACTGCTGCTAAGGTACTTCACTACCTATGCCCACAATTATCAAAAGCCCTGGAGCATTATCAGCTCTGCAGACACAATTATCATCTGTTTATCACAGCTGCAATATGCTCTGTACCTCTTCTTAAATATAAAGCACTGCCTTACCAGACTGCCTTTCTGCCTTGCTGCTTTTTGGCGTATTTTGAAGGACTTTTTCCTCAGTTGCTCAGCTTGTTCATATCTGAAACAGTTATTTGGAGTGTGAGAAGGATGTCAAATGTGGTATCAATAAGCATCCTGGAAAGATTCTAAGTTACTTAAGGGTACAGAGTTGAAAATTTAAGATTCTTGAGAATTATCACACTTTTTTTCAAATATAAAATTTACAAAATTATTAGGGACAGACAGTATTTCTCCTTTATCTCTGCAAGTTTTTTGTTAAACTAAGCACAAAAGTTGGCCCCTCCTATGTGACCTTCTACAAGAATAGAGGGGATGTTCATGGTTGCATATGAAACTCGAAAAAAAAAAAAGAAGAAAAATTCTGGCTTCAGGACAAACATTGTGCTGTTACTTTTTTTTTTGTACTACCTCCACATAAAACAAAACCAGCAGTGTAATTAAGCTTACTTGTTCTGCTTTTGGTACAAGGTTGCAAGTGCATCAAGTTCACGGGCCACCCGAGGATGTTCAGCTCCATAGGCATTTTCAGAGATTTCCAATGCCTGCTTATACAGCTGTTCAGCATTTCCAAACTTCTTCCACTGAACATACACTCCTGCCAGCTGGTGGAGTGACTGTGCCACCCTGGGGTGGTCTGGATCCAGCGCGGTCTCTCGAATCTCCAGAGAGCGCTGCAGAGGAGCTACAGCCTGCAAAAGCCAAGTCCAGGCAGTGAGTGCAGCAGGCAGCATCCTCTATGCTGCAATAACTTATCTATGGCCACACAAAGGACACACTGAGCTTGCTTCATTTGCCTTTTTGCTGTTACAACAATCTCTAAATGTACTTACCTGACTGAGAAGACCTAGGTCCTTAAGAAACCGTCCTAGGGTCTCATACAGATCAGCCAGGCAGATCATGCTTTCCTCTCCCTCACTGCTTTTTTCATATTCTTTCAGAGAGTCAAAATACTCAGCTGCCATAGAGCTCTTATCTTTCCCAACCAGCTGCCAGTAACTCAGCAGTTCTGCAAAATGTCCCCTGTTTTAACAAGGAAAAGAATCTTATCTCTGATACCCCTCTATTCAGACCTATGCTAGCTTAGGAAAAAAGGCCTACATGCACAAATGTTGTTGTTATACATCAACACAGACAATCCATGGAGACTAACACTATTCAACAACAATATTTATTCCTTTACCACCCCCCAGGGTGCAACAGAATAGAAAAAATACATTATTTATATGGAAACAGCATTTAGCACTTCAGTCTCTACTGTTCAAGTATTTGAATCTGTCGCTTTCTGATTTATATTGAAAAAAATAAATATGAAATGTTTATAATGGCCAAAGCAGTTTCTACCTTTGTACCTTTTGTAAAGGTTTTGGGACACAAAGAGATTCAAAAGACACTTGTGCAGCTTTTGCTTATCTCCCTGCTGTTGGAAGAGCCAGGGCAGTTCATCTGCACTTCTCCAAGTCACTCGGTCTTGACTATTAAAAGAAAAACAAATGGAAATTAAAATCTCGACAGGCCTAGCATCTTGTCAATTTGCTGTGAAAACCAGGTAAGCATACAATTTCCACACCTGAATGTCTGAACAGATTACTGTAAGACCTATGTGCTCCATTTTCTTATATGTTCATTTTAATTTCACCTCAGAAGGTACTGGAACCCCCAGGCACCCTACAGGAAGCTGCTTCTCCATCACATATGGGCTAATCTATGCCTGCCAGCAGGACTGCAGCCCTGCAGCAGCCCATTGTCCCTTTGTGCCTCCTTTGTCTGGCACACTGTGGCCCTCTTGGCTTCCTCCTACCCAACAGTAGATGCCTGGAGGAGCAATAAACAGCAGCCCACAGCTGGGACACTAACTCAGGATGTAAATGCAAATAGTTTTCAAGCTGGATATGAACTTGTAGATGTTCAGCTGTCCTACCAGATCTCCTCTTATCTATGTGCTAATTGCTTGCTGAACAAAAGTGGTTTTCTGCTTCAAGTCCTAAGCAAACTCAAATTTCCTAGCATTTACTGGGAGTTAAAAATCCATGGGGAGTTGAAGACCACAAAATAACTGAAATGGTATAAATTAATGCCCTACATTTCCCCACAATGACTTTATCATATGCCCATTCCTCTTCACAGACCTCATTCTTTTCCAAGACCAAAAAGCAACATATCAACAAGTAAACTTTTAAGCTGACAATTCTGCATAGTTATTTTGCCATAATAATTTACTCAACTCAAAGAAAGTATATGAATAAACCAAAATATCTGTGAGGCATGAAATCCACCATTTAGCACTTCTTGAAGAATTCTGACCTACCTTAACTGCATGGTGAAATATTCCACTAGTTTTTGTCTATAGGCAGAAATAACATTTTCACCTGCTTCCATATACTCTAGTTTTACCATCTCCCAAGCCTGAAAGAGAGTATAATTAAAAGAAAGAGAATGCATTTAATTTGTTTAAGTGCTGATGATACACAGGGTGATGAAACACATCTCATGTTGTAGAACTGAAAATCTTCCAATGACAAGGGCACTACAAACAAATTGTCTTACATTAGACCACAGCTCTGGTTATTCAAGCAATACTCCTTTCTCTTTCAATTCTTTTTTTTTTTTTGGGAAGTCAATGTTTTCTAGGATACATGGAGTTAACAATTAATAGATTTGAAATTTATGAAGGTTTGAAAGGCCAGATTTTCAGCAATACTGGTTTCTCACAGTTCTGGTAGTTTTCAAGGTGTTTTTAAATCTAAGGAGAATGGATGAGCAAACATACATTTCAAGGCCTAGGTAGGTAACAACAGAACTTATCTAGAAAAACAGGGGTTGGGGTCAGGGGTTGGAGCTTCACTTGCACATGTTTAGAACTACAAACTTTACCTGGAGGTGTTGGAACTTCAGCAAACCACAGCCATATGTCAGCAGACACATTTTGTGCAGGCTGTGAAGGAGTGAGGCCAGCACTGCAGAAGTCAGCTCAGGATAAAGCTCCATCAGCTCTGACTCACTCACCCCATTGTGGCTGACACCAATGACACACAGTATCTGCATGAAGCAGAAAGCACGATTTCACATAGTTAGCAATATTCCCTGGAGAGCTTAGTTACACTGAAATCTCAAGAAAAATATTGTATATCATTGTGATAACTTTATAGCCAAAGGAAAAACTCTGCCTCTACAAGCCTTTTCCATCTTCTCAAGGAAGAGACCTCAATGTTAATGGTTTAATATTCTGATATATAAAGCACCAAATGGGACACTCTGGGACAAACAAATGGCTCCTCAGACTTTCCTCTAAAACACTGGAAGAGAGTAACTCCATTATCATGAGGAACTTTCATCTAAGTAAAATATGCTGAAGGTCTTCATGCAGCCAGAACCAAAGAAGTAGCAAGTAGGAGTATTGTGTCCTAATTAAAAAAATGTTTTGCACAAGAGGGAAATTCTGCAAAGGTAGGAAGAGGAGTCAGAAATGTAATAAGCAATGCCTATATTCCCAAGACACCATGTTTTGATTGCACTTACTATGCTCTGCGTAATTAATCCCTAGATCATGGTAGTGATCAGCAAGGAAGTGCTAATTCTGTATCACATCATAGTGAAAAATCCCTGCTTCATTCTGTGAGACAACAGCTCAGTTGATATTTAACACAAAGCAGTCATACATTCTATAGTTACACAACAGATGTAATTACATTAATTAAATTGTCCCTTCTATACTTATAATACACAATAATCTCTGAATCATACATATTAACGAATAGAAATTTGTATTTACTTTTAAGTTAAGAAAAAGTCTTTACAGTGAAGAATATTCATTACCTGTAGAAACAGAGATGCATTCTCTGCTTACCTCTCTCAAAAGATCTTTCTCTTTATCACTCTGCAATGATTCCTGAATTGATCTCAGAACAAGCCTGTACAGTGACACTGTGTCTTGACACTGGCAACATTGCTGAAGAATCTCATCAATATTTCCTGTTTTTCCAACACTGAGCAGAAGGACAAAAAGGGTAAGGTTTAGCATATTAAATTTGACTGAGTAAGATTGATTCGAAACAACGGAAGAGTTCTATCTCAAATATTCTCTGGATTCCTACTGGGTTCAAAAGGTGCAAAGCATCTGGTGGCTAAGATTTAAACAAAGAGGTGAGTTCTTCCAAGCCAATTTCTGATTTCTGTCACATTGTCTGATTTTTCTAAATAGCTGCAACAGTTTTATTAAAAAAACCTATGCTGCAGTGTTCTTTTCTCCACCAGGAGTACAAGTAAGAACATCAGGATGGATAAACATAAACCCACATGCTGCTATTTCATTTAATGCCTTTACAAAGCATGTTTTCAGGAGCAATTAAGTCTTCTAGAACATAAAACGTGAACAAAAATAATGAAATCAGTCACCTGGAGTAAATTACCAATTAGTATCTCATCTTCTGGGAGTCCCTTAACTAAAAATGCATCTTTCTCAACAAGATGAAGTCTAGGTTAATAAGAAGCCAATGCACTTATTAGGTATTCTCTTGCACAACAGGGAATATTAATTTTCTGCACAGCAGGAATTACAAGGCTAAGGACCATATGCAGGAAGTTAAACTAAACAGGTGTTGAACTTCCTTGTTGCCTTAAAAAATCTATGGGGCAAACTCTCTGGTACATCAGTAAATACAACACACCTGAATTTAACTGTTTAAAAACACCATACCAACATTCTCCAAATACCATTAAAAACCACTGAAGCAACTGATACACCCATAAAGAATGACAAATGAAAATAAAATAGAAACAGAAGAGCTGAAAACAAATAGATATAACTACTTGGATCCACTTAGTATCAAACTGGTGACTGTACACTCTCTGATTTCTGTTCCTGTTGCATTCAGAGTCAGTGGAGGGCAAAACTTCTCTACTGTTTTTTCCTAACAAGACTCCTTCTGTGTTACATTACAGTATTTCAAAAGGCTAACCTACTTGAAGTCTTCTAATCTAGTGATGACCATAGTAATTTCCAAAACACCTCAACTTACCAAGCAATGGTTTTGCCCAAGAGAGTGACATACAAGGCATTGCAAGTTGTGGCGGAACGACAATGTCTCTCAAGCTTCTTCTCCTACAACATTTTAAATAATCATCTGTGAACTGAGATGAAACTAACCATACAAATAAAATGTTCACTGTTTGATAAGAAAACAGAAGTTCTAGATATTATTTTAGGTGCAACATCTGAAGACTGTAACATGGTAAGTAGTACACAAAATACTGCACATATTTCCAGCTACAGGAGCATATGAGTGAAAAGTTCCATGAATTAAATTCCATTTGAATTTAAGAGGAAGAATTAGGGTCTAACATCTCAACATGAAGGTTACCTTACAGAATCAGTCTCAAGGGCAAAGGTAAAATACTGTTTTTCCTAATCTGTCAATGATTGTTGCAGTATTATGCAAAAAAAATTAATTAAACCTTCTGGTATTCTAAAATAAAATATCACATTTACAGCAGTATGTGCAACTACTGCACAGTTTTTCTGTTAAAAATTTATGTTGTTCCATCTGTGTATCATGGCTATGAGCCATGGGATAAAAATACTCAAACTTCATGCTATCTTGAGCAATCATATTTAGTTAGCTAAATATAATTCTTTACTCTGGCAGCTGGGCTTATTTAATCTTTCCATGCTTTCATTAAAAGTTATATTAGAGTAAGGTATTCTAGAAAAACTGCAACAGACATACCTGCTCTTTAGTCAATTTAACATTTGCAGAGTTACATTCTGCACTAATGAGAGATTTAACATCTTTGGAATTGAGGGGATCAAGATGAAGAGTAGGCCATAACCTTTGGTAAGAGAGAACAAAGTCATATTTGAGCCTTATTAAATACCACAAAAAAGTTTAGAAAAAAAACATCAAAGTTCCAGGGCTTTTTAAAGATTTATATCAAAGCAGTAATTGAAGCTGTTCCCTGCTACTATGAAATTCTAGTCATCTGAAGTAGAATTTCAACTTTTAGCCTTATCCTGAATCTACATCATGGTACTGCAGTTCTTGATGTGCCTCTGACTGCATTTAATATCATCTTTCATACAGTCATGTGGATAGATCCATCACAGTAAAACAAAAATCTGGTTTTCCAACAGCTAAAATCTGTCATTGCAGCTAAAATAGAGAAGCTTTCATTTTCCTCATAGGTTGCAAAATCTTATCTTATTAAATCTCCACATCTTGACAAATCTGTCTGCTCTTCAATGAGTAACTGCAATTTAAAATAATAATTCTAAGCCAGGATACTTTGACACATCACAGAAACAGAACATACCTCCATGCCTGCGGACACGTTTCTACATTCACTGATACAATCACTCTCATGTTCACTGGCAGTGGATCTATCAACCACTTCATATGCTTCTCAGCTTGCTTAAAAACAAATATTCATTTCTTAACAGAGAGGTTGTTCAAAACAATACCAGAAGCTGCTATGTTTTATTAACTGCTCAACCCAATGAAAGGAGTCTTAACTTCTCCAGTGTCCTTTAAAATCTTTCATGATCTGGTCCTCTAGACAGTACTAAATGACTCACTTACATGAATTAGCACAACTCTGCACTAAATAAAGAAGATAGAATACTATTGTTGAAATGTTCACCTCATAAAAACCTGGCTATTTACATGCCCAATAAGTCAGCTCACAGCCTTGAATCTTTGGATAAGTAATGTAACCAGACTGCTTAAAAATTAAGGTATAAAGATAAAATTTAGAAGAAAAATACCAAAAAAACCCTAAAAAAATCTAGAAAAATAACTCAACTGCACTTTTTACAAAACTATTTTCTATATGTTTTCTTCAGAGCAAAGCAAACACTAATATTTTTGTTACACAACTATGGCTGAACCTATTACAATAGTCAAGATTCCTGTTAGACTGACAAATGGCAAAGATTTTGAAAACATACCTGTATTTGGTCAATAGAGTCAATAATTATAATAATGCTGCCTTGATGGCGTGCAGAAAGCTTTTCCAGCCAACGGGGAAACTCTTCCAGAAGTTTAGCTGGATCGAAAGTCAGAGGTGATACTAACCAAGAGTGTTGCATAAGCTGCAGAATTATAAACACGTACAAGAAATTCTACCTTAAAAATCAGCTAGGATAGTTGAAAGAAGTCCTATAGACACAAAAGGGAAAAAAAAAGCAGTTCTCCCAACCTCACTCTCCCCCCCCCCCAAAAAAAACAAGAGATTTGGGGGCAATTTTTCTAAGCCTTAAATGCAAGAGTCATATCATCTTTAATTGGTTATGAAACTAATACCACTGTTTGCATGGCTCTGAGGGGTAAAGAAAACCTAAAAAAAAAAAAAAGAAAAAAAAACAGTTCCCCCAACCCCCCCCCCCCCCCCCCCCAAAAAAAAAAAACAACCATGTGATTTGGGGGCAATTTTTCTAGTCACACAGAATTCTTTGCTGATAGCATATGCAGGAAGCTGGCATATGCAGAGCAAAGAATATTTCTTGAACTCTTTCCTTCTAGTATATGCAGAAAGCTGGCATATGCAGAACAAAGAATATTACTTGAACTCAGTGTGCAAATTCTAGAAAGATAACCTTTACACAACAGACAAGAAATATGGAGACTTAAAGGACTTGAAGTTGCACAAAATAAACAGGCAAACATCTGAGATTGATGAGAAAATTGCAAGGATAGCACAACTGGATAAGTTTTTCTATAGGTTTTACTACTGCAAGGCCCTTAGTGCCACTCTTGTGATCAAAAAATCAAGTTCAGACCCTAGCACAAAAATGAGCCTTCTTATTCCCCACGTATTTAGCACACAATTAAAAATGAATTTATATAGGAGAGAGCCTAGTCTGGAACAAGAAGTACCAAGTGGCCAACACAGCCTTGGGTTTCTAAGCACATGGACACAAGATGTACCACCTGCCTCTCTCATTGGCCAGATGGCAGAGAATTTTGGAAGGAGTTTATATGGTTTTACAAGTCATCAATATAGGTCACTGGAAACAAACTGCTAATGCTGATCCATTATGACTATCCCAGAGATGCTATTTAGTTGAGCTACATTAAGTGCATAGGATCAGATTCCCCTCATCCTATAATGCCTTACATTTCATAGACTCACAGAAGACTTTGGATTGGAAGGAGCTTTAAAAGGCCACCTAGTCAAACTTCCTGCAATGAGCAGGGGCATCTTCAACCAGACCAGGCTGCCCAGAGCCCTGACTGATCTGAACCTGAATATTTTTCTACTACATTTGTATTACCTTTCACTGATGCTGAAAATTTTGTAGATGTTATCTTTGCATGCACACACACACACACACACACACAGAAAAATGCAATGCAGCGCATGTAATGCAGCATTACCTTCAGAGTAAGGCGCTTAATTATCAGGGCAGATTCTGAACTAGTAGACAAGGGTCTCCCAACAAAGTGGTAAAGAATTAGTGTATTTGGTGAATGCTTCTGCTGTAATTGAATCCTAATGAAAGAAGAGAAGAAAAAAAGACTCAACAGACTGTAATTTTGCAAATAGATCTCGAACAAAAAGTACCAGTTTTGCCAAAGGAGATAGAGTATCTTAGCTACACATGTTCTATGTTTATGTTACAAAACAGGATAGACATTTCCTGAGCTACAATTGAACTTCTAATGTCAGATTCCATTTTTACTCTCACCATTATTGATAGCAATTAGCAAGTGCCCTTCCTGGCACTGAATAGTCATGTGCCACTAAGCTTTCAAAAAGCAATGACACCATCAGTTTATTTTTATGACAGCAAATTTTGTCATAGCATACAAGAAATCATAAAATACTACAGTTTATAATAAATGATGAGGATTCTTTCTTTATTTCAGACCCTTCTTGTCTATGAGAGAAGGGCAACACCATTGACCTATCAAAACCACATCTTAATGCTGTGCAAAGACAGATATGTAAATGATGCCTTATCATAACGTGTTGCAAATGGCATCAGGGAGCTGTCAAAGGCAGTCCAGATGAAATTAGCTACTCAAATATCACAAATCTTTCCAGGATGCTTCAATAACGCCAGCACTTTGTAAATGCCCCCATTTTATCTCTTATTACTGACACAATGTTTGAAATGGACACTTTTTTCTTAAATTTCATTAACATTAAAAAAAAAATAAAAATTTAACTACCATTTAGATAGAAGAAGAGATTTCCCAGAGCCTGGTCCTCCTGATACAAGCAATGGTGGAATTGGTGCTGGTGCTGCTACTAGGTCATTCAGACGTTCAAAATACTATAAAAAAGAAGCAATCATTATAAACAGTCCAGTGTTTAAGGAAGAAATATAGTGCCTGGTATTGTAAACCATGTCAATTCCAAATGCAAGTACCAATTTATTCAGGTAAAGGAGAAACTGCTGAAATACAATACAAGTGTAAATAGATCGCAAGGAAACACTTAAACCACAGAATTCATTATCTCTTTTTTAAAAAGTGTAAAATTAATTAACACTTTCTTCAAAATTCTATTTAAAATGGAATCTTCAGTGCTAATAAATGGAATGAGTGTTATTACAGTAAAGCAACAGTGTTCTGTTTTTGTTCAGGCTTCCTTGCCCTTCCTTTCCCCAAACTACTCCACTGCACTGGATATGGCTGCCAGGAAGAAGTTGGCATCTGTCATGAATGACTATTTTGAGCATACAAAAATAAACTAAAGAAGGCTTTCTTACAGCATATGAATGTCCAAAACTATTGCAGCAGATGACAAAATAAACCAAAGCAACACACCCTTCACCTTCTTGGGAGAAATATTTTATCTTCAAAGTAAGAGGTGCCTTTAGATATACATTTGTATTTTTTCTTTAATGTTCTATTATTCTATTGCTCTAGATTGTAGTAACGATGGTACAACCCTCCAAACCATTACCAATATAGGAGTGGTGAAGTAAAAGAATATATTGTGCTACTAAAATAGGGGTACTAAGAATTTAAATGCAGTAACACAAAATGCATGCTTATGTTACATTGCCAAAATAAACTACTGCACCACATTCTGTGATGACTTTAATGTTTATCTTCCTACATTCATTGTATTTTCCCAACATATTCCTGACACTCACAACTTGAAGAGTTTTAAAAAATTATTTCCAGTAATGAGTAAGTACTGAGGTATTCAGCAGCTTTCCACTATAAAGTTTCCTTTGTTCTTCCTTTACAGCTGCATGATGAGATGAAATCTTTTCATTAACCATCTCCTAAAGACCTAACTCCAGGTGTCAAGAAAGAGATTGGATTTCCCCAGGGAAAAATAAAAGAGAAATTTAAAAAATAGTAGAAGAAAAAATAGATACTCAGAGTGTTTTCTATTGATGACCAAAGTCTAAGAGGACGCTCTGCTTCTGGCACACTGTTATATTGCTTTTCTCCAGTGCAGGCAAAACAACTACTTCTTCATCAATGCCATTCAACAACACATCAACTGGCATCTCTCCCAGAAAATAAATATGCCACCTATATCAGACATATGTCTTCTTCCAGCATAAGGAGTGATAGCCTAAAGGATGCTCTCATACACAGCTTCTTCTGTAGAAATGCATCTTGCCCAACAAGGGATGAAAGTAAGTGATGACTTTCACTTGATCCATATACTTTTATAAGGTACTCACTTTCTCAAATCCCAGCTCACATGTTGAATTAGAGGCCTGCTGAAAAGCTTCCATCTGTTCTTGTTCATCATGTGCATCCCACAATACATCACCAAAAACTTCTTCTTCAGGAGCAGTGGAGTCTTCCTTATTACCCAAATCCTTGCCTTCTAGGTCTGTCATTTCACATCCCAATATATCCTAAGTAAAAAGAAATTACATGGAGAAAACTGCAACTGTAGTGCAAGCACATGTGATCTTAGTCTCAGCATGAGTGTGGCTCCACTAACACCAATATGCTCATTTCCTTGCAGGGTAGCAAAGATCTAAGCAATAAGTAAATAAGCAATTAAATGAAACTAAGTTAACTCTGAATGCACAGGTCTCAAGACACTGATTTTAAATACCTCACAGTAGAAACAACTCACCACAAGAACAAGAAGAGGACATATCTATGATATGGAGAAAGACAAATTAAAAGGTAATTTTGGCCCATAAATAGAACCCTTTCCCATGGTCCAGTGCTTCTGTCCATAAAAGCACTGCTCAGTTTGGGGTTTTATTTTCCACCTGCACATTCCTTGTTTGCCAGATACTACCAATAAAACAAAGAGACACTTTGAATCACACTTACGTACCACATAGTAATCACACTGACATCATTTAAGATCATAAATCAACATGTAAATAAAAATCTAAAATGCATGATGTAATTTACCTGTTTAATTATTTTTTCCACACAGTTATAGATTTCATATGCTCCTTCCTCCATACCTCCAACATGGTCAATCATCTGAAAAAGTAAATGGAAAAGCAGGACACAACTCTGAATCCAACTGAGAACAATATTTAGGATTTCCAACAAAACCATTCTGGAACACATTTAAATTCCATTCTGTTGCCTTCCTTAGGTAAGATTCACTTTGCCTAAGAACTTTAAAAGTTGGGCATCTAGTTTCAGCTGTTCTCAACCATTGTCTCTGTAGAGGAAAATACATCATAACTGATCAATTTTTAGGCAGCAGGAATCTTTCTAGAGGTACACTTCACTCCCTTCAGAGGGACCTCAGACAAACAACTTTGCCATTTGAATGCCTAAATACAGGTAAGAAATTCTAACCTTACAGCATAGCCATTTTTTTTAGTGAAAATAAGGTGGTTTTTTTTCTCCCCTGCTAATGAAAATTTCATAATATTCATAAATTTCAGCTTCATCAATGTGCTCACAGAATGAGCAGCCAGAGCAATGAGTGCAATGCAATTTCTTCTAAAATCTGGGACTATTAGCATGCAGTGTTGTTTATAGCAATTTGTAAATGCCATACCTTTGCTTTGTTCATGCAAGAAATTTGCTCAATTAACTGTTGCACTGAGACTGAACTGACTTTGCCGTCCTCCCTTCTGTGGTAAATTAACCGGGGTTTTTCTTCTGGATTTCTCAAGAAGGCTTCTTTGCAGTCCTCCAACAAACAACTAGATTGGAAATCAGCATTCTTGTGCTATATTACACTGCTGTAGTAAACAGTTCAATCAACACAAGCTCCGAAGATGGGTTTCACTGCAAAATCTAATTCAAAAGTCATATCTATTTATAGCAAAAAGCAATCAAATACTTCAACAGAGAATTTGAGAAAAATTCTGAAGCAAGAAAATGCTAAGAGAGAGATTTATGCTACTTGTACCAAAACCAGTAAAACCATGTATTAATTTTTATGATTATTGATTTGTAAATTTAAAGCTGTTTTTCCTGTCATAGCAGTATGCAGAGTGAAAGCTAATTGCCTTGCATGGAAAGAACATGGTTTCACATATGATTAATAAGCATCATATATATGCTTTGCTATCAGTTATCTGAGGGCTCTGTTCTATCTTTCATCTTTTTAGGAAGAATCCCTAAGTATTTGTCAGATGTCTTGGGTGACAGTCTTTCAATTTATAGTGTTTAAAAAGGAGAATTTGACACCTAGAAATTCAAAAGCACTTTGCATTTATATATGTGAATGATATCCATGGATATCTATTGCTGTTCCAGAGAAGGAACTATACTGCTTGGGGACGCTGACAGGATTGCTCAAACATTACCATGCTTACACAAGAACTACTATTTTCATCAGAGTTTTTCTAAGACAAATTCTCTAAATTAATACTTTTGGGGTTTTTTTTCCCCTGAATATTTTGTTCTTACACATTTTTGCTCCACATACATAAAACTGGGTTATTTGGCAACAGCATACAATGCATAACAGTAACATTCCTAACACAACTCAAAAGTATCCCTCTTTTGGTATATTTTCTTTAGTGAATCATGCTTCTTCTTCTAGAAGGTTAAGAAATTACTCACTGAACAAACAGACCACATTCCATCACTATTTGTCATGAAACATCATGACTTCACTAAATCAAAGCTGTCAAAAGACAGCATACAGTAACACACAGGAGAGCCATGAAATTAGTCTGAAAGACAGCCAAAACCAGGAACTTATATGTGATAGAATAAACCCCAAATACTATGGACAGGTGTAAGGCTAGATAAGCAAATGAAGAATACTGAGGACATTCACATCAGCCATCTTTAATTCTTAAAAGACATAGCCACATGCACAACAGAGAGCTGCTCTTGGAAAGCAAAACATTTCTGTATGTTACTAAGGCATTGTTCAAGCTGTATTTTAAGAGAATTTGTAGCTACAAGAAAAAGAAAATGGTACAAAGCTGATATATTCTTTTAAGTGTCTGCACTAGCAAACCTAAAGTTTGAAGGAGTATCACTTTGAAGTTGCTAGCTTAGGAAACATACTGAGCAAAGCATCCCATACATTTTAATAAGATATGCACTCAGCATAAATTACCAGTTGCCATTTGTTTCACTAGCCTGGAAAATACTCACCTTGGCAAAGTTAAATGCAGGAGCAAAATTACTAATGAACTTTTTTCAATTTCCCATTTTCTTACATGCTGAAGAGGCCTTTCATTCTCTGTTGAAAAATTAACAACTTGAAAGAAGTACCCCATTGTTTCACAGACTCTCTGAAGTTTTGGGGAGTAGCTCTGAAAGCAAATGTGAGCAACAGTGCTTTATTACTAACCATGCATAGCACTAAGGATCTACCAAACAAATCTCAGTTTCTCTTATCCAAGCAGTTTTGTTCCCCTGAAGCCATTGACAATACTTTCACTGATTTCACTGAAATCAGACTACTCCTACTAAAGCTTTCAAGAAGCATTAGACAAATTTCTGAACCAGATTCACATTGGAAACAAGACAGCACATAAGTGAGCACAGGCTTGGGGGTACTCACTCTAATGAAGATGGTCACTTCTGGCTGAGTCTCATCAGTACTGATAATATAACATCTTACTGTGTTACTCCACAGAGAGTGGGAAAACAGAGGAGTAACCTGCAATAAACTGGCAACAGCAGCATCCCAATCATCTGCCAATGGAAAAAAACCCCAAAATGAAGTCTTAGACATCTTCACATGTTACCACACAGCATAACAGTTAAGTCATCACCTCTTAACATCATGAATACTACATTTTATTTAGAACAGTAGCAGTGTTTTTACTCAATTATTTAAATTTTAGAAAATTAGAGAACTTATACCATTTGATAATGTCACACAATTTGATAATATGGCACAATAAAAGTGTTAAATATATTATTATCACAATGACATCTCCTTTAAAGAGGATGGATGAAATGTTTCCACAAGATGAAGCTTATAGTTGTAAAATAAGCACCAATATGCAGGAGTAATAAATTCACTCATAACCAAACACTTTTTTTTCCCTTCAGATCAACAGGTATTTCAATTAGACCATGTGAATAAATGACAGCAAAACACTGTGGGAACCTCCTCTTTTGGAGAAAAAAAAAATCTATTGTTTTCTGTAGCATTGCATGTTTATTCCCTACAGAAACAATGAGTTTTAAAACTTTGATTCTTCATTTTGTGGCTGGCCATTCTTCCAAGACAGGATTAAGTTCTCTTCTCAGGACCACACAGGTTGATGAAAAGCTTAGTGTATGAAGCTGGAGCCATCACAGGGAAGGTCCACTCCCCCCACTTTGCAGGCACAGATTTCTGATTTAGACAGAGCCTGAAGGATTGAACTAAAAAGGGAGAAACTGCCAGCAAAGTCAACTATATGCAGGAGAGGTTCCAGAGCCAGGACAACAGTGAAGGAAACCAGAGTATCAGAAGCCAATTTACAAGAGGCCACTTGTGAAACAAAGTTCAAATGCAGTAACTATTGACAAGAAAATATCAAGCACTGATTTACATAACAACTGTGCATCCTGGTCTTACAATCAGATTTCCATAAGTGTTCTCCTAGGCAAAGTCAAAATCCATGCAAAATCAATGAACAAAACAGCAGTATAATTTATTCTAATACAAATGTGATGCTCATACTCAGGAAGTAGAGAATCTGAATACAAATGGAAAAAAAGAACACCAGCAGATGTTGAAAGAAGGAGCCACTATCTTCCATTGTCAACACAAGGAGCATACTCACAACAAAGCACTGGTAACTGCTGTTTGGTAAAATCACTGCTGCACATACCACAGTCATCACATATATTAAACATAACTTAGCTACATTTCCTTCTATTTTTACAAAGAATTCCAAATATTCCTTTAGTCAAATTACCCAAAAGTGGACAGAAAAGGACCTAAGAAGGAACACAATTACTTTAGCATAGCTGAAAAAGTTCCATAGACCCCTACAATCCCAGCAAATTAATTACCATTACTTACCTCTGTTTATATTTGCAAATGGTCCCTCAACATCTATGGAGCTATGTGCAAATTCAGGCCCTCTGAAAGACTGCTGAAGTTGCATCATACTACCCATGGATGGCTCACTTCCCAACACTCCTCCGTTCCAGTATTCAGATTGTGCCCCAGCAGCTAAGAATTGGACAACAACAGAAAACCCTCTTCTTTGTCACTACACAAGGTAAATTGTCAGTCCTAAATACTCTAGCCACATGCCACTGACCATAATTTTTTTTTTTCCTTCAGCAGATTTCCTCACGCCTTTGTGTGCTGTAGTTCTAAATGGTTGCTTGTCCAAAATTAACGAGAATCCATGACACCAAAGGCTGAGGGTATTTCCTAATATTTGCTATTACATAGATTGCTCACATACCCATCAGAACCCTTTCCATGTTAGTAAATTCCTCATATAGCATATACAAGGTTTTGTACCTACATTTTCTTTGTTAAAGATCTAACTCTGCTGTTCTGGAACACACAGCAGCTGACACTGGCATATGCCATCATCCAAAGTGTCTAAGACTCCCTCTAGTTTCTGGTGTGATTTTTGGATATGCTGGAGCATCATCTCTCAGATACAGAATAAGAGAACACAGAAAAGACTAGAAAGCTCAGAACAGCTAATGGAACAACTTTTAAAAAGTGTTCAAGTAACTGTGTCTAGACAGTACTCTGTCTTCATTCATTCACTTGTAACACCAGAAATGTGAGGTTCCCACAATCTAAACCAAGTTTGGAAGATTTGTTTCTTTTACCCTTCAAACTACTTTAAGTTGCTTCTCATCTGGATTAATAAAACTTTTTTTTCAAAACAACATAAATATCTGTCTTCTGCTTTACTATTTGGAGACTTCAGTCAGGGTCCAACACAAAGTGTTGGGAATTAAATTCTCACCTGTAACATCTGTACAATTATCATCAGAATCAGACTCTTCAGGATCAAACACTTGGATTCCCTGGGCCTGCAGTCTCTGGAGTTTTGCTTCCAGCTCTCGTTTGGCCCTCAGTAAGTCCTGAATCTCATTTTCTTTAGTTTCTCTAAAAATCTATCAGCAGGAAGGAAAAAAATATCAGTATCTTTTCCTCAGATCATGTTATCCACTTTCAATAGGAAAAGTAAGTTTTTAACATCCATTTACCAGGCAAAGGCGTGAAAATGTGAATCTGAAGCCATCATGAGTCAGAAATGAGCAGGAAACCAGAGTTTAAAATTATCTGGTTTTAAAATTTTACCATTATAAACCTTAGCGTACCATTCTGAAAGATGTCTGCATTAACATTTTCATTAAAAATTAAAACAACTATTTTTATTTTTAACTTTGTCTTCTAAAATTGCTACATGTAACAATTCTTTTAAAGGTTCCTTTTTATTCTCCCATGTATTTATTTATAATTATACATGATCTTGTATTTACATTTTATTGTTGCAGAAATTTAAATCTCCTATGACAAAAATTGATCAAGCATCTCCAGCTGTCCTGTCTGTAACTCATTACCGTCATGTGGGAAAGAAAACATGAATCTAGTTTTAAATTCAAATAAATGAAGTAGTCTTCAAGTCTCATTTTCTTAATTAAGCCAGAACCAATCCTCTTTTTATATATCTGACAAACATGAACGACATGTACCTACAGACAACTAAAACTAAGGACATGAAGAATCTTGAAAATAGGGAAAAACTAGGACCTACTGCCCTGTTTTGGGTGGCAAAAGTATCATCTGCAGCAAAGGAAAAGCAGAAACATCTGCCTAGCCTTTCAAGTCATCCCTGCAAACTGTCTCCAACTACCATATTTTTGCAGCAAAAGAGATGCACCAACACACAGTTTTAAAAAAAATGTAAGGTAGAGGTGTTACACCATACAATACAAGATATAAAATTTATTCAGAAAGAATGGAACTCTGTGTTTATACATTCATTAGGCATGTGTCAATTTACAGCTCATGTTTTCTTGTCATTCTCAAATATTAATTTGAATATGAACACAATATCCTGTGTTCAAATTCAATGCAGGAATTTAGTTTATGATGTATCACTTCATATTCTCCTTTTAATAATTACAAATTTATTTCATATTTTTTTCCTCTTAGTCTTACAAAGAGGTTTCTGTAGGATTATTTTAATGGATATGGGCAGCTACAGCTATGACACTCTAAGGTTAAGAAGGAGAGGCTCGCATGCAAGCTATTGGAGAAGGGTTAATTTGGGGAATGTGAACAAGTGACATCCATCTTTTCTGGTCATCTTCCCAAGAATAGAAAAGTCAAATCATACCTTGAATTGCCTTTTGACCTTGTCTCGATCATGTTCAAAAGTAGCAGCTCTCTCCATGGCTTGGTATTTAGCTTCTAATGCACTTTCTTTCTCTCTAAGTATTTTCTGGTATGTTTTCTGAAGTGCCTGAAAACATTTAGTATTTCATATTTTATTGCCCATAAGAGGTTTTAGATTACTTTTCAGGTCTGACTACAGTATTATCTCAACACCCCACATCTCTCCTTACTGTAGCGCAGCCAGAATCAGAGAATATCCTGAGTTGCAGGGGAACCACAAGGACCATCGAGTCCAGATGCTGGTCCTGCACAGACACTCACTCCAACAATCACACCATGTGCCCGACAGCACTGTCCAAACACTTCTTGAACTCTGTCAGGCCTGTGGTGTGACCTCTTCCCTGAGGAGCCTTTTCCAGTGCCCAACAGCCTCTGAATGAGGAACCTTTATTAATATCCTGCCTAAGGTCGCCACAGCCGCGCAGGGCGCGGTCCCCATCCCCAGACGCGCACTTTGAGGGCATCCCGGTGGCTCAGCAGGAGAGCACCGGGGCACCGCTTCCCCAGCACCCTGCCTTCCCTCGCACCCATCACCTCCCTGCCACAGCTTTCCCCAGGAAGCGGGACGAGTCCTTGGCAGCCCCAGCTCAGTGCCCTCACCCGCGGGCGCTACCTGCAGCTCGGCGCGCAGCCGCTTGTTCTCCCTGTCCAGCTTGGCCTCCTTCTTCACCATGGAGGCCACCTCGTTGTTCTTGCTGACGCGGAAGATCTCGTACTCCTTCCTCAGGCGCTCGTACTCGGCCACGCACTCCAGCTCCTGCACCGAGGCCGTCGACTTGAAGCTGGCCCCGATGAGGCCGCCGGGCCGGGAGCCGCCGACGCGCCGCAGGGACCCGCGCAGCAGCCGCGCCTTGGGCTTCACCTCCACCGGGATCTCGCAGGCCTCGCCGCCGCCGTACGTGTCCTCGATCACCTCCCCGACCGCGCCCGCCGGGCTCACCAGCGACGACGCCGTGCCCATGGCCCCGCGCCCGCCCGGGCGAGGCTCTAACGCCGAGCCCAGGGCCCGGTGCCCCCGGGGGGACCTGGCGGCGGGGCCGTGCCCGGCGCGGAGCCTTCCCGGCGGCGGCTGCGGGCCATGGTCCGCTCCTTGCGGCCGCCGGACGAGGAAGGGAGAGCGGGAGGAAGCGGCCCCGCGGGCCGCCTCTCTCCCTCCCTCTCCCTGCCGCTCCCGCCCCGTCCCGGCCCGTCCCGCGGCGGCTCCCGGCTCGGGAGGGGGAGTGCCAGCCGCCGCTGCAGGCTGGGGAAAAGCCCAGAGGGAGAGCCGGGGGGCTGGCGGCGAGAATCTGCCGCTCTCAGCTAAAAGTGACTGCGTTTTAGGGTTTTGCTGCTAAAAAGGAGCCGATGTGAGGTCATGGCAAACTTTCCCATTCCCGCTTCCTCCATCTCAGCCTGACCGGGGATGCTTTATCAAAAAGAAAAAAAAAGTGCCCATTTTCTCTTCGCCGCGCCTATTTCTCCTCAAGTGTCCATTTCTACTCTCTCTGTCACCTGCCCCGGAGCCCTCAGGTTGCACCGCATCGCTGGCTGGTTTACACGATTATATCGCACTGTTCTCCTTGGCCAAACAGGGGCACGCAGGTTGTGCCACCAGCTTTGGTGTTGAGGAGACCTTGGAGGGGGAATTGGGGGAATTACCCCTCACTGGTCAGCAGCTGTGACCTCTGAGACCAGCTGGCACTCTGCAGGAAAAACTGAGAAGAGCCACTGATGGCACCAGCAAGAAATGAGCGCTGGGCAACGGTGCCATGTCGTGCCCGAGGTCAGTGCTTGCACCTTGTGCGCCTCATATGAAATTGGGAATTCCGTTTGAAGATTTTCCCTGCCAAGAATAAGAAAACCGTGGATTATCGGCCCTGTAAATTATCCTCATGACATTTCCTTCTCTGTCTCTCAAAAAAACCCTGTTTTGTTCCTTCACTTGTCATAGGGAATTCAGTGTAACAGATCCCCATAGCTGAGGAGAACATCCATTTGTTCCCACATCTCAGAACCTGCCCTACCTTTGGCGTAAATGACAAAAACGTCACTACTTCAAAACAGATTTTGCCTCCTGTATGTGACAGGTTTGTTAGCCATGACCAAGGAGCCATTTCTTCTTAAAAATTACGAAAAAAATAATCTTAGAGATGTCTTTCCAATGAGACAATCCTGATTTCAAAATCTACCGGAGGGGGAAGTTACTTTTGTGTACAGTAGTAGAAATAGAACAAAAGATGTTGCTTTATTTCCCTGAGTAAAAACTTTGGGTTTGGAGAACATGTGCATTTTCCCCCTCCTAATTGTACCTAATTGTTTTCATGAGGAAAAACGACCTCATTGTCTGAATATAATTTAAGGATCAGTCACATTGGTGACGTATTTCACTTAAACCCTGCTTCACTAAAAGAGACATACAAAATATGTGACAATTGAGGGAAGAGGAAGGGTGCTGCTATGTTTTCTCTAATATTGACAGTAACATAGCTTGCACAGTATTAGGTGATTCAGCAAGTCTGCAGTTCTGTAACAAAGCAAAGCTCTTGGTTTCATTTGTGTGTTGGTATCCGGCAGTTTCTCCACTTCACTGCTGTCTGAGCTCTGGGAACAATTGAAAATACATTCATGCTGGTGCTTGAGCTGAATTATTTTCATATTCTGGGGTTTTGAATATCAAAATCTGCAAGCTTTAAGCCTAGAATAAAAAGTGTGGTATTGTAAGAGCTCTTGGATTCCTTCTAATAATCCACTTGACATTAACAAATAGATTGGAATAACTGTAAATGCTGTTTCTCTAATGCTGCCCCTGGGTGCATTATGGAATTTTCATGGATAATAAAGATCATATTAACACAGCCCTTTCTAAATGGAAAAATTACACTGCTTCCCTATTGCTTCATGAATTGGTTTTCCTAATGTTTAGAGATTAGAAAAGCTTACTTCAATATCTAATTTGTAAACTAACAAAGTTTGTTTTAAATCACTGATTAGGACTATTCAGAAAGCAATCCAACTATTCATTGCACAAATGTTGGAAACAGTGTCTGAAGATGAGCTGTCTTAGCTTTCAGAAATTAATTGCCCCACAAAATCATTTGCTGGAGAAAACACCTTATCAAGTTCTTAAAAAATTTCACTTCATGTTATGCTACTTTTTAAAGTGTCAATTGGACCAGCCGAATCTTTATTGTGTCATAAAGTTCTTCACTGGTCAGTGTAGATATTTGGGGTAATTGAGAAGCTTCCTATTTACCATTTCCATTATTTACATAATTTAGACAGTTTATGAAAACATTCATTATTATTGAAACATGATATGCCATTATTATTAAAACATGAAATGTGCTGGGTTAACTTTGGCCAGCTCTTATTACTACATGATGTATTTTTTATGTTTCTTACTACTGACTTAATTTCATTTTAGGAGTTGTTGGTGACTGTTGACACGCAAGTTCTATGGATCTAAGGATCTGTCCCATAAAGAAAAGTACAACTGCAGGAATTAGACCTTTGCAAGAAGGTTTGGTTTTATATATGTATTATTAAGTTCAGCTCCGAGTTAGCAGATGTTCATTTTATAAAATAATTTACCTGATATCTATGCATTCCAGTAAAATTTAGTGTATAAGGTCAAGATATGACAAAATAAGGGGAAGATTAGGAAGGCTGAAGATGGTGAGTTGCCACAGATTGATTAACCCCTAAAAATGAGAGTTGGTTTGTTTAGAACGAATGGTGATCATGACCTGAAAACAGAAGGTGCTTTAAAGGAAAGACAAATGACCAAACTTCTTCTCAATTTCCTTTCTGTTAACTCAGAGGCTGGACTGACTTTTAAGGCTGTATACTACAGGCATAAGCAAAGTGTGTTAAAAATCCTTCACAAATCAATATTAAAGTGTTTTTGCCTACACTGAAGGGAGTTGAAAATATTTCAATATCTTATTCATTCTTCAAAAATGTCTGTGTCTGATGGAACATGATAAGGGAATTCTAGTGAGGACATAGAGTTAAAATATGTAGAATGTAATTAAAAGGTTGTTGTTGTCCTGGATTATACAGGCTTTTTACAAGGGCATGGAGTGATAGTACATGGGATAATGACTTTAAACTGAATGTGGGTATATTTGGATTAGATACAACAAAGTATCTCCCTTTACTGTGAGGGTGGTATGGCACTGAAAGAGGTTGCCCAGAGAAGTTGTGGATGGCCCATCCCTGGCGGTGTTCAAGGCCAAGATGGATGGGGCTTTGAGCAACCAGATCTAATGGAAAGTGTCCCTGCCCATGGTGGGGGGGTTGGAATTAGATAATTTTTAAGGTCCCTTCCAACCTAAACCCTTTCATGAGTCTATGGTTCTATGGTATAAGCTCTAAAAGGAGACTCTAAAAGTCTGAATAAGCCAAATGTCTGATCTGCTTACTCAGCTTCTTTGTTTTATATAACGAGGCCTGATGATTTTCAATTGAGAAGATCCCTTTTGAATCTGGTACACTAGTTGTTCCATAAAAGCCTGAAACTGCCCAATCTTAGAATTACTTGTTGGTTTTTTGCCCTGTTGTAACATCTGCATTTTGTTCATCTGCATGAAAGACATCTGGACATCTGTCTCTGTCCTCCTTGGAGACCTTCATGCTAAGCATCTGCAGTTCCATGATTCACCAGCCACTTTGGCTGAGATGTAGGGTTCTGGAGCCGTGTGCAGCTGAGCTGATGGCTGCTGGATGGTGGAGAGGTAGATGTCTTCTTCCCTTTTTCATGTGTCACAGCATGGCTGAGGCTACGTCCATCCTTATGACCAGCTTACACCTTGCAGTCTTTCTGTGACCCGACATGAAATTGCATAACTGGGATTTGAGTCATTTGAGGTGTTACGAGTCTAGAAGACAGGGTTACTAAGAAATTGAGAGCAGTTCATCATTAGCTCAACAAGTTAGAAATTAACATTCATAAGCAAGGCTTTGTCATAAATTTTTTAGAAGTAGTACTGTACAATTGAAGTCTGAAGAAATGTGCTGAAAATCCCATCTAAAGTCTTAAGACAATTTATTTCAATAGGCATGTTTATAAGAGTCTCTAATACATCTGCTTTTTATTTTCAAACTAAAAGTAATTAAACATACCTGTGGTTAATTGTAGGCTGCTTAACAAATTCAAACTTGGGGCATAGTTCTAAGTTCAAATAGCTACTGAACTTGCTGTGTTTCACTCAGTAACTTTTTTACAGTCTGGCAAGTTGAAATCATCAGCTTCTTTCAAGAACCCATTTGCTGGGAGTCCTGAAAGTTACCTGGAGCAGAGATGATGAAAATCATAATGAAGGAGAGGACATCTGCTTTCAAATGCTCCCACAACTTTTACAAGTCATAGCCCTTTGCCACTAGAGGACAGCAAGACCTCAGGAAAAGGGGGTTGTGTGAGGAGGTGAGAGAAAAGGAGAGAAACTGCTTACACAAAAGTTAAGAAATCCTTAGTTCAGAAGTTACGTGCTTCTAAGTATAATCAATCTTGTTAAAGGTTGAGTCCATTTTGGAAGATATTTCAAGACAAAATATGGAGGAGGCAGATAAAAGGTGAAGTTTTAATGTAGTGCTTTGTCTATCAGTTATAGATAATGTTATTTGAAAAGTACAATACTAATTAGCTTTAAGAGCTGTATGCTGTTTCCATTTAATTAATATATAGTTTTGTATTGATTTCAGCCAGAATAGAGCTTTGCTTTGAAATCTTAAATAACCTGTAGGTGTTCTGATTTTTGATGAATGAATTAGATACCCTTATGTAGAAAGGTTCTTACAGTCTGTTATTTAGAATGAAAATAATAGACTGAACACACCAAAAAGGAATCTTCTGTCTCTACACTTTTAACCATATTTATATCTGTGACTTCTAATGCAAAGATCCATTAAAGTTTTCAACATAAACTATAGGAAATGCATTCAGAACAGTGCAATTCATAACCAAAATCAAACTTTTCACTTTCATGACTTTAGAATGTCAGACAAGAAAAACTTTTTTAATCTTTATGGTAAGTCACTTGGTGATATTTCTCCATTAAGGGTTCAAAAGCCTCTTTGAAGTGACCTTCGTTTGTCATAAATCTGAATTGAGTTTTAACTGAAAATTACACAATGAGTTATAGTCCTAGAAAGAAGAGCTCTTGAACATCTATTTTATCATCACTGAATCATCACTGAACTGAGAAGGACATACCAGATTTTGCAGTCTCATGGTCATGCTATTCCAGGCCAATTGGATTAATGTATATGATCACAAGGCTGAAGAACAACTAATCTTGTTCACCAGAAAGATGGGGTGAAAGTGAAGGAAATATCCAAACAAACAGCAAAACAAAGACACACT